GAATGCTACAATGCTTGCAAGGAAAAAGACCTAGAATATGGAATGACGGAAACTGATTCAGTACAAGTGGGTTTAGAGCTGAATGCATTTTCAAGCCTTTCATCATCCTTCTATTTCAAGAGTGATTTTCGCTATAAAACACGAGAAAGCACTGTAAATACAGGGCCCCCAGGGCGTTCCACCCTCTAAAAATAATTATCATAAAAAAAACTAAATAAATCAAATATTTATATCTTACCTAAATCCTAAACCCCATCTTAGAAAGAAAATACAGATATATTTATAGAAAATTCAAATCATACCTTCTATAGAAATATATATATATATAATCATAATGAGATTTTAATAGAACCAAAAAGAAATTCAAAAGAAGAATATAAAGATCCTTTAGAGATATAGGCAGAAATTCAAATAAAAAGAATAGAAATGAAATATCGCCCACCATCTTATTTTTAGACCTCCCGCATTTCTTTCGAATTATAATTTCATCCTTGTTAAATAATAAATTATAATATATCTCGATTTTGGATGACGGAACATTTCAATTGCAGACTCTACGAAGATTACGCCAAATTTCGAGCAAGCTCGCACACAATTCTGTTCGATAATCCCATGTAATAACCAATCGGGCCAAAAGAATCAATTTATTAAATCTTATCGCTAAATTCTTAAATGAAAAAAAAATTTTAAAAATAAATAAGTGACTAAATAGAAAAATAAGATAAATAGATGCAAATAAAATAAAGAAAAATTAAAAATTATCTAAAAGTCAAAAATAATAAAATAAAATTTCAAATATATTTAAAATATCACATCGACATAGAAATTCAAATATAAAATAAATAATCAAAATTTAATTTCGTAGAATTAATCGATAAATAATTTATATAAAACAAAATCGAATAAGAACCAAATTAAATAAATATAGCGAAAATACAATAACAAAGAAAAACATCATTAAATAAATAATATCAAATACATAAAGAAATATTTAAAATTCATTATAATCAAATTTAAAAGAACCCCAATGAACAGAAATATAGATACAATAAAAAACAATAAATCATATTCTATATAAAAAATATATCATCTTTATAGAACCAATAGCTAAAAATAATTATCATATAAGAACTAAATAAACCAGATATCTTATAGAAAACCAATATATATACATATATATAATCATAATGAAATTTAATAGAGCCAAAAAGAAATTCAAAAAGAATATAAAAATCCTTTAGAGATATAAATAGAAATTCAACTAAAAAAGAATAGAAATGACATATCTCCCACCATCTTATTTTTAGACCTATTATTTCTTCTTTGTTAAATAATAAATTATAATATATCTCGATATTGGATGACGGAACGTTCCAATGCAGATTCTGCGAAGATTACGCCAAATTTCGAGCAGGCTCGCGCACAACTCCGTTCGACAGTACCATGCAGTGCCCGGTCGGGCCAGAGGAATCAGTTCATTGTTGAACCGCATCGCTAAATTCTTGCATGAAAAAATTTGACTGAAGAAATTTCACCTATAAGGGTGTGCAAATCTTTCTGAGAGCGCGCTGCTCTCTAATCTGTATAAGGCCCTTGCTGGGCAGCTGCAAGTTTCAGCATCAGTTCGGCCTGAACAGGATTCATGCACTGCACGCGGTAGATGGTCTCCAGGACGATTTGGACATGATTGCTGACGGGCGAAGGCGGGCCGTTGAAGCCTCCCCATCAGATTCCATTCTGCATCAGCGTACGGTTGGAGAGCGGCGGCATTGCAAACGAGGCATTCGAAGTGGAGCCTCCGGGAATGGCCGCAGGCATCCTCTGAAATTGAGGAACCTGGGTGCGAAAGTCGCGGTTGTAGAGCTCTTCCTCGGTGATGTGGTGCGTGTAAGCCTGGCCGCGCTTCACGTGGAACTCTTGGTACATAGCATTCCCGCGTCGCCTGGCACCCAGGATAAAGCGAGCCGACAAAGCAACCAAGGGATTACCACATCTCACTGCCATTGAAGTGAAGCGCAAAAGGAGAACCGTGTAAGTATAACATATACCCATATTCACACACACACACATATATATATATGCGCTACCATATACGTATCTATATATGCATTTAATTGCATATACATACATGTGCCATCCCCCTTCATGTACCCACGCTTGTTGCCTGAATCGCTTGCGACGTCGTCATGTCCCTACAAACCTATTCAATCACCACTTGCATTCCTTTCCAACGACATTGTTACCATCACCATTTCCCTCTTACTGTGGTTGTAAACACCGTTCTGGTTGCTTCAGTCATACCAAACCAGTTAATGCCCTGTACCTCCGTGATTCTTACTATGTCTTTTTCTGGGTACATTACTCCTGTATGGCACGCATGGTAAACGATACATTTTCCAACTTCTGTTGATCGCGCTATTCATAGCCAGACGTCACAAAGTCAATGAACCAGTTATTGTGTTCTCTGTGTGTTGACATTCTGATCAATGTAAACCTACCGGCTCCTATTATTTGAGAATTCACCCCTGTGCATGTACTACTTACCAATATACACAAGAACTCTTAACAGAATGATGGCTCCATCAGCTAACAAAACTTTGTTTGCAAAAAAACGTGCTGAAACACGATTGCTACTGGTGGAAACACAGATAAATCAACATGGTTGGGGCTGCTTTTGAAAAATGTGTAACCCTCTTGGATATGTGCGTTTTGGTACGGACTAATCGATATTTGTGTTTATTGCGTTCTGTTTCATACTGCTTGATTTCACATGCCAGGTCTCTTCAGCCCATCATTAAGTCATGTCCGTTCCATCGAACTAGGTAACTCGGATTTGTCGTTTCTTGAAGATTCGCTTTAAACATTTTGCACCTTGTAGATGATGACCATGAAAATAACGCAGAAGCCATACAGAAAAGAAAACGCAACAACTGAAGATCCTCCATGCCAGCATAAAGCCACATCAATAAATATCTTATACACTTATCTTTAGACGTGTGTAATGTACGCCAGCATAAGCCTTTCCGTGCAACACCCGTTTTCCATATGTCCATATGTCGTCAGTCATAGACACAGAGTATAGACACAAGCCCGTACATGATGAACGGACGAAAATGGTCAAACAGGGGTCTGCGAAGAATAACATTTCTAAGATCAAATTTACAGGTTTTGTACAGACAAGAAGGTAAGTTTCATCAGCAACCGTTCAGCTATATGCAAGCAAGATACATGCATACGTAATTAATCACATCGCAACAGTGCATATGTGTGCCCAATAGCAACTTCGCGTTGAATCCATGCAACTCGATACATTCTCAAACTAGTGATGAGACCAACTGAATGTTGACTCTGAAGACTTGTCAAACGGGTAGTCACATTCTCCAGACCGCCATACGATAAAATGCGAGTGTCCTAGTTGTATGATGCAGGTGCTATCAAACAAGCCATGGTTGGACTGAGGGAGTTTCTGGATGTCTTTAAGACTCCTCTCTCTGCCAAGCGAAACAGTTGAAGTGACGGGGATGATCATGACAATGACAGTCTATGAGAAGGGAAATGTTTGGTGAACGAGTCAAACACGTAGAGCATGGTAGGTTTGTTGCATGACCCGCGACAGTAAGACTGGTAACAATACCAACAAAGCAAAAAAACCCTACAAAAACACAGCATTACCAGTGTTAAACTTGCGTGATGAGCAGCACTACATCTATGAACCACAAGATGATGCCTATTACTTGCAACAGAACGATAGGCTCGCAATACAAAAAACAACTTTCGCTCCACAATAGTGATCATGAGTATTCTCACGAACTCAGGTTCAAGGTGCTTGGATCCGAGGCGTATTCAATTGAATGCATGTTTTGCACACGCTCCATCTTGTTCCGAGGCGAGAGGTTTGTGCCGAAATGTACGGAACAAAATTACGATCTACAGGCAATCCCTCCGATCCCAATAACCAATGCCTTCCTAAACGCAAAAAAAAGAAAGGCGTGGGTACATGGGGTCCCGGGGGGTCCATAATTCGTATACATGTATGTTTGCATGTATGTATGTATGTGTGTATATATATATATATACATACATACATATATGTACATGCAGGTGTGCGAAGGCCTGCCAGAGCCTGCTTGATTCCATTGCTCCCACTCGCTGCGGCGGCGGCGGCCACCGTGGTTGGGCATTGTCTCAAATGGCACTCTAGTCTGACCCCTAAGCCTGACGGGCCGTGTTCTTTTGAGCAACACTGCGCAACTGAACTCTCCCACTGGCCCAGATCTCACAAGCCATGCCGCGAAGCTCCCGGGCGGGGGGCTCTAGGCTTCATATCACGGTAGGATTTGGACAGGCCCTTGTAGATGTAAACTGAGCAGTTGGTTTGTCCATCTTTTCGCGATGCTGCTGGTGTAACCAAGCCAAGAGTTTCTTTTCGAATTTGGCGTGGCGGAGAAGCATGCAGCAGGAGACAGCCATGAAGGTGAAGCACATCTCTAGCGCAAAGAAGGAACCCTAGAGAACGATCTCTTTAATTATTACTCTTACTGCTGATTATTATTACTAAAACCAGTACCATTATCTTTGCCATGATTGCTATTAATGTCACTATTATTATTACTATGATGATGATGATGCTCATGATTATGATTAAAATGATGATGATGATTATTCTTATTATTATTACTGTGTTTGTTCTTATTTGTTAAGGACTCTACAGGCGTCTCCTGGTTTGCTTCTGGCTGACCCCGAAGCTCCCGAGTTGTTCGGTGAGCTCCTCGGGGACGCAAAGCGAGGAACCGCAAAGCGAGGAGACGCAGAGCGCTCAGTCTTCAAACCGTGGGTAGGGCCCGGTAGGGCCCTTTAGGGCTTGGGGAGGTTTTAGGGTTTAGAGTTTATGCAGGGCTCTGGGTTTACGGCTTAAGGAACCTCACACGAGTCAGGCCACGACGCAGGGATCCCGGAAGCCCAGGTCGCGTCCTGGGCTGTCTGTGGACCATGGCCACCAGAGCTTTAGGGCTCTTGGAGCTTCAAGGGCTGCCTGCGGCCACCATGCGGTTTATTACTAAAACTGTTACCATTACCTTTACCACTTTTGTTTTTAATGTCATTATGATGATGATTATTATTACTGCTTCTTCTTATTATTATTACTTTTGTTTAGGGTTTAATCAAGAGGGGCCACACCCCAGTCCCCCAACCTGGAACTCTCTCAGCAAAGCATGGCACCAGGCGTTTGAGGCCCAGGCCCTGTATGATGTCGTCCACAACATCGATGAAGCCTCCGGTGATGTCATGGCACCACTCGGCGATGCAGCTTCTTTCACCAAACACCCCTACATACAAGCGGGTCTGTATCCCGGCGAGGCTGGAGGCCATCCAAAACCCGATTCTGTGCAGAGTTTGGTGTTCTGCTGGGCTACACTACTCATTTGATTGCTTCCTGCGGGGGCATCCCTGAGGTGCAGGCTAGTCTAGCCACCCCACTTTGCCACAACACTTTCGTGCCGAATTCGGCAGGGTGTCATGGACTCAATTTCCTGACACGGTCTGCTCGAAACGCCCGAATTGGAGGATTCACCCTCGCAAGCTTGCGTGCAAGAGCCTCTCCAGACGACTCTCGAACAAATCGTGTGTCACAGCCAACCAGACCTCCGAAGCCCCTGAATCCTACGCCGATCGGTCATATCTGGCAAGGCGCCTGTCACGGACATCACAACCACCTCAGTTTCGCACTCCACACGGCTTGACTCAGCGGATACTTTATGCCATCCCACATATAGCCTCTGAGCGCAAGGCCTCTACTTGAGATTGCGGTTCGAGCATCCATCTGCTCCCGTGTCTCAGGCGCCAGCTGATGTAGCAATGATGCCACCCAGGATAAACATGATTACCTCAATGGCAAGATATGAGTTTGGGTTACGCAAAATTATAGGCTCTAGGCTTTATAGAGACTCTAGAGTTAGTGGCGCAGGACAGATATGCTTGTCTAACATGGCTAGAGAAGCGTCGCTTCCCGCACGCTCCCCCGAACATGCAGTCCTGAGCTTTTTCAACTCCCAAATGGCTGGTGCTTCACCTGCCAACTTGATGGGAAAGCTAATCCCTCTTTATGCACGGACTTGCAGCTAATCCCTATCCCCAAACCCTAAACCATAATCCTGTAACAGTCGGTAACATGAGGAATACGGGGAAGGGAGAGCAAATATCTGCAGGCGTGATGTCACTGTCTTGAGCGGACAGGTCTGAAAGAAGCCCAGCTAGCTAATATAGGGGCCTTCATAACTAGAATAGGGTTTTGAGGGTATATGATTATACTATAGCTATAGTAAGGGTTCCAAAAATGATATTGCTAAGTATTTAGGCCCCTGTCTTACCCGAAGCTCGTGTTCGGCCTAGACAGAGCGCCCTAGACACCGTTAGGTCGCTTTGGGTTTAGGGCAGGGGCTTTAGGTTTAGAGGTCTAGCTGGGAGTTAGGATTAGGGGGACCCTGGAGGATATAGACCCTCTCAATAATAAGGTCCCCTTTAAGAGAGCTACAAGTAGGGTTCAGAAGGGTCCCTTTAAGGGGTCTCCCTAATACTACCTAGGACTAGCGCGACCGACATCTGCCGTAACTCGGTGATGCCAGTGTGCAGTCTGCACCCCTCGTGGATGCCAAGGTGCCGAGGGTCTGCGGGTGCGCTTCACCACCCAGCCAATCACGGCCTTGCCCACCACAGCCTCAGAGTTTAGGGTTCAGGTCTTCATGGTGCAGAGAGCCTAGGGTTGCTTTGTTTGCCTTTTTCTTGTTGTGGTTGGGGGGTTTGGGGGTTCAAGTTTTCGGGTGTTCAAAGCTCTTAGGGGTTTAGGGCTCAGCCTCGACCAGGTTTGTGGGGTTCGGAGGTACTTCGGATTCAAGGGCCCCTTGGGGTAGAGCTGTCGGAAAACTTCCGATATGACTGGGGTTGAGGCCCGAGACTCGGGTCATAGGCAAAAGGCAGAAACACAAGCTGTACTTCGGTTGTTCACCAGCGCGCTAACAACAACGCAAGCACGAGCTCTCGGTGTTGCTGCCTGGTATGAGCTGCGGAAGCTCAAACGCCCAACCCGAAACTTCCGCAACTCCCGGCATGAAGCTCCGAGGCTTTTGACCCCCCCCCCCCTCCTCTTGCTAATTAGGTGTGATGCATCTCAGGGCTGCGCTCCCATGGCGGTGGCAAGCCCCAGAAACAGCGAGTAGTCCATGGGCGCTGTGCCTGCTTTGCGGCCACGGAGATCGAACTCTTCAGGGCCTTTAGGGTGGACAGTCTCTCTACTTGCTCTCCATGGAGTCCGGAAGCCCATGCAGCAGGAACTTTCTCTTTCAGCTGTTGTGGCGTCGGTGTGCATGCGAACTTCACACCTGGGGCCCAAATCCCATGGGTGTATCACCCGGAACCACTGGCCTTGAACCAGGAAGGCGATAGTCGTCGACGTCGACATGACGAAGAGTGTTGTTGCCTCGGTCCGAAGCCATGGCCTAGTACGCGACTCCACAGATGTCATGCCATGATGTACAAATCTGCCGTCGCCCAGGAAAAGACGAAGTCCAATTACTGCCAGGCTCCTGGCTGTAGTTGCACTTTGGACCTGCAGCAAGCGAGTGCCGGCTTGTCACTGATCTGTAACTTAAAAAATATAATACATAACAGATGTCAGACAACATAAAAAAAAATATATATATATATAATATACATTCTACAATATGTAACTATGGAGTTTCCTCTCAAATTCGGTTACACTGAAGACACCTATCGTCGCAAGCGACACATAGACAACACTAACCCCTCGCGATCGCTTTAGGGGTGAAGCTTTAGTAGCTCAGGATCTGCATGAGCAAGCATGTAGGGCCTTGTGGGGTTTAGCCCACATTCATGCGGTTCCGAGTTCCCAAAAATTGTTAAAAACCTCAACCCCGAGTTTAGGTTTAGGCTTGATGGTTTAGGCGTTAGCAGCCCAAAGCAGGGGGGTCTTGAAACTAACTTAAGGACACCGATGTCAGAGAGCAGCTCATAATATGCGCGCCAGAATGCGAAGATTCTTCGGGTACAGCACGGTGCGAGTATTTTAACGAACCCTAAGGGGCAAAACCAAAACACACGCAACTGTTTAGAGTTTGGGCACCCCCCACCCCATACTGTATGTATGTCTATATTCGCACACAAAATATGTATATATATATACATATATATATATAGTACTTATTCTTAGATAGAGGAACCCTCTGAACGAGTAGTACTAGTCATCTAGGCGGACTAGATCATGTTGAAATTTCCCCTAATCCCTAAACCCTCTATGCCTCTATGACTATATTCAGGTATCCCTAAGCCCAAAACCCCCCAAACCCCCTAAAATACTCCTGAAGCCCTAAAAGCCCCTATGAACCCTAAAGCCTCTAGGACTCTTTTCATGAACCCTAGCCTAAGAGGATGCTCTTCTCCAGCCTGTGGCAGGCATCCCAAGTCCAGGAGCTTAGGGCCTCGCAGGCAGAAACAGGGGCGTAAGACTTGGAACAGGGTTTAGGGTTTAGGGCTGAGAGGTTTAGGGTTTAGGGTTTAGGGGAGTCTTCGGATACATGATTACTAAACTTAAACTGCGAAAATAGACAAATACAACATAAGGACTACAAAGGAATACCTACTAAGACTAGTTGTTCCGACCTTAGGCAGAAGTCGGCCCTGGCCCTGTCGAATCCAGTGCTGATTGTAGGTTTTTGGCTTAGTTGCCAGGTGCCTCGCGAAATGAACATCGCAGTTGCAGCCACATGCTACTTTGGAAAGAAATCTTGTGCCGTCCACCCGCAAAAACGCCCAGGGAGTCTGCGATGCAGATCCGCAATTGCTTGCTGCCAACTGTGAGCTTGTCCCACGATCCAGCACACCGAAGCATACTGCAAACGAAAGCCGTCGTTCCTGATTGTTTACTGCCCGATGGTCAAATTTGCGGCTCCAAGTTTCGAAGGAACATAGTAACTAGGTCATAACAGTACTTCAAGGCCGAAATCGCAACTGCATGACTTATTGCGTTGCTTACAAAAACAGAAATCATCATGAACCTGCAAATAGCATAGGTCCCAGGACAGCCACCCATGATCATGCCACCGCCGATGCCGCAAAGGGCTGCCAGCATTCCCGCCTCAGCGTTGTTCTTTGTCCCTCTACTACAACAAGGCGCACTCGTGCTACGAGTACTCTTGGAACTGTTGGTGCTGTTTCTGCTGCTAGGACTGCCAGGACTCTTCCAGCTTCTCCTGCTAGTCGAACAGCGAATCATTCTACAAGTAGTGCTAATGCTAAAATACAAGTAGCACCACCACTTCCACTGCGATTAGCACAATTGTGAGTTTTCCTGTGCCGCGAACACGAGAGCCGCTACTGTAGACATCCGGCCCGCTTATGTCCATTGCCGATTTACCCGGTACCTACCCGCCATCAACAATGATAACCATGATGCCGCTGATCATGAGCGGGCTGAGGACTCAAACGATAGCTGGAACGAAGATGATAAGACGCCATGCTCATCAACAACCTTGTCTTGCGGTCGGTATGCGGCTTGTACTCGTAGTCATGAAACTCGCTATGAATGCACGAGCTTCAATCATTGACAAAGCTATTTTTCCAGTAGCAGCAAAAACATAGTCGCTTCCCCCTTTTATTAAACACCCTAATAATAAAAACGCCCTTTCGAACCTATTCTGAATTAGGGGGGAGGGTTTCGAGGCTCCAAATACCCTTGGAGTAAGAGCAAAGCAAGAGCAAAGCAAAAGCAAGAGCTGGAGTGAGAGCAAGAGCATGAGCAAACGCGGGAGCAACCGCAAGAGCAGGAGCAGGCGCACGAGACGCAGCAGAAGCAGGAGCAAAAGCC